ACCAGCAGGGAACCCTGCCGCACGACCGCGACTACCAGAATGGTCACGGTTCGATGCCCAAATCAGTCTGCAAATTTTACGACGCCTTGACCCCGGCGTGGTCACGCGCGAATTGCGAAAGCTACATTTACGTTGTTTCCATGCGAAAGAGCCTAAGATGACACTCGTCTTAAGCAGAACAGGTCTGGACAATGTCAGACTCAACCTCATCAGGGGCGTCTGCGATACATGCCGAGAATGCAGAGCTTGGGACAAACCTGGACACACAGTTATGCCCTCTACTGCATGACCTGGCAAATTTCATGATGAAGTGGAATGTGACTTTGATGTTGTACAAGCAAGAACACATTGCTTTTCACATTATCGATCGTTGTATACGATATGCTACTGGGATTGAAATACCAGACAAATCGACGACTACTATCTTGGATGCATATCATCAGTGTTGGATGCAGCTTGGACCAGCTAAGGTTTTTTACTCGGATGGAGAAGGTGCCCTTGATAATGACACTGCGAAAGCAGTCCTCAAGGCCAACGGCACTGCAGCACGCTACGACGACCGAGGCCAGAAATGACATCCTACGTCATCTACTCCACGTAGTGGAGGCTGAACTCAATAGGTTAGACATACCTCTTGTGTTCACTAGACTACTGCATGAAGCCTTGTTTGCAGCCAGCGCAATCACTTTCTACAACGAGGTGTCCCCATACAGTGCACTATTTGGACGGCAACCAGCAATGCTCCCTGACCTCCCTGTTCTGGACCACGAGCAGTCGACAGAAACATCCGATCATTCTCGTGAACAGACAATACGCAGGGTATGCATTGAGGCGATCCCACAGGCCACGGCAGCAGCTAAGACCAATCGTGCACTACGCACTAAGACGACCATTACAGGTCAACATTATTATGACGAAGGAGATTTGGTTGACTACCATCGCCCTACGACTACTAAAGACGACTGGGGAGGTTGGAATGGCCCGTTCCCAGCTGCGAAGAATGATCCTGGACGGGGTCAGGTCACCATCCGAGTAGGCGACCGAAATGTTCAAGTACAATACGGCGATGCAACATATTCGCTCTACATTGAAGCAGTCATAACCCGAGAGATTGGTTCCGACGGCGCTGCACTACGCACAGTGTTGACATTCGTAGCTAGCCTTTCAGCGGGGAGACCTGCGTTGACATTTAGTTATGTGCCGGCCAAGAACGGTGCGCTTCAGATGGCAACGGCAAGTCGCCTATCGCCAAAGGTCCACTTGGCTCTACAATATATCATCATAAGCTTCTTCCGTATCGGGAATGTTGTTTCGGTCAGATTAGCCAAGAGTATGCATAAGCTACCCGCGGTTACTTATGCTGACATTTGCACATTGGTTCATTGCGATAACGATATGAATCCAGGGTTCCACTACTATGAAGCAGAAGGTACTGCTCTGAACATACACGATATAACTTGATCGGCACAGTCACGAGTCATCCAATGCCTGAAGTCCATCCAACTTCAGGCAGGCTCCGATCAGGATATGTCAAGGTTTGAGGACTTGGCTGATACTTCACCACCTGAGGGAGCCGCTGGAGAGGCTTCAGAAGCCGAACCAGAACGTGATGACGGACGGCTGTCTACGATCTACGAAGAATCAGAAGCTGATCTTGAGTCACATGTTATGGAGGTATGGTACGCAGAGTTGCGAGAGGAAAAGGAACTGCTGGAGGCAACTCCACTAGAAGAGTTTACCGTACCCACACACATGGTTCCTGACCAGAGTGCGTTGATCACCGTAGCTGCTGAACAGCGGGAACACCTGCCGAAGTGGGGACACACGCATGATCCTGATACTGAGGAAACGTACTTCGCTCCCTTGTGCACCCTGGTCGAAGACGACAGCTATGGACTTGACTCTTACGAAAACGGTCCATGCGTTGAGCTCTGCTTTGCATCAGAGATGTCAAAGGTCGTCTTGTCCGAGCAGCAGCAGATGCTGTTAGACGCCGACCGGGTGACCACCATGCGAGTACATGTTGCTGCCGCTGCAAAGCGAGCTGTGGTCGTCAAGGAAGACGACCTCCTCAGCTAAGTAAGGCTGACATCCAGGCGAACCCCGGGGAAATGTCGAAGGCCCTTTTCACCGAACTCAAGGCATGGTTCGACAATAAATGCTTCAACATGCAGGAAGATCGCCAAAGCGTCGAACATCATGACTTCGAGATATGTATACACATGGCTGTTCGTTAAACATGACAGGGACGAGATGGAACGCACCATCCGACTTCGTCTGGTACTTCGAGGCTTCATGGACCTAGAATTTTTCGACGTAAAGACATGTTCGGGAACAGCCAGAAGGTCAAGCCAGAGGTTTACTTGCCAGCGCGGCAGCGTGCAAGCAACAGTGGAGCATTGCTTCCCTGGCATGGCCTTCCTAAAGGGATTGACCTATCGAGAACTCGCCGAGGCAACTGGTGAAAAGGAACGCGCGGTGCGTTTTACCTTGCCGTCTGGGTCGGCAACTGCGCTCCGTGCTCTTCCAGGGTTTGAGAACTGCGACGAGTCAAGGCGCTGCCTGCAGCGCTTGAAACCGGGCACGGGCACTAAGGGCGCCCCACGGGCTCTCTCACTTAAGCTCGGGAGAACCACCAGAGGATTTGGCCTCCGACCTACGTCTTATGACGAGGAGTTCGAGACGAGCACTGATTTGCTCACGACCAAACATGTTGATGACATTAACAGGGCCGGCACTGAGGACACCATTGACAAGTATGTAAAATGCGTTGAGGATGCCTTTGGCAAGTGTAAACTCAACAAGCACACGCATGCGAACTGCGCTGTGAGGTACACCAAGGATGAGGGCGGCAATGTCACTTTGGGAGCAATATGCATTCATTGAGCAGCTCCGTTCTATGCAACATCCTGAATTGACCGGCGCGGACGCTGACGCTCAAGCGACCAAGATGGTGGCAGATATGTTCGTCAGCCTCAGAGGTGCGCTGGCATGCGCATTGATCACCCAGGTCTGGTTGATGGTTTATGTTGTATCCTTCGAGCGCGTCCAAGAACCGACCAATATTCAAGTGCGACGATTGGGCGCGATCACCAGAAAATTGCAGGCCTGCCCGAAGAAGATCGCGTGCCAGGCGATGAACCCCACGGGCGAGGTCGACTTACATAGCGACTCAGGCTATCGACGCCTGAGTGGAGACGCCGATGACGACGTCAAAAGCTATGGCATTCGCGGGGCAAGCCTGCTACGACGTGGAAGCACGTCATCTGGCAAGCTTGTCGTTCACTTGATTGATGCGCTCTGCAAGTCTCACCGCTTGCAAGTCCGCTCATGCTATCCAGCAGAGACATTTGCAGCGGCCCATAATTTGGAGGATTGCTATCCCACGATTGTGACTCTGCGCGAGCTCCATGCGGGGCCACTCACACCCGCTCAGTTGAAACTGGGTGGCCTGTGCATCAAGCTCACTCTGACCACCGATGCCGAGTCTGTCTTTAAGTCCTTGTCAAGCAAAGACTTGAAGAAGCCGGCTGAGTGTATCCTTTTAGGAGACATAAGTTGGATACGACAGATGATGGGGCGCGGAATCGTGCATAGTATTCAGTGGTGTCATAGCCGCAATATGACAGCGGATGGACACACAATAGGGAGCATTGACAGAGAAATGTTCCTACAAGTCATGGGACGCATACAGACCTTCAAACATGACCGGAGGAGACATGCGCCATATCGGGCCGGCCAGACATCAAGTTCTGACGCCGCCTGATGCGTGTGCCTTACATTCGCGAGGCAACTCGCTGACGGGTCCAACTCCTTTGGGTCCGTCTCCTTTCTTTTCTTTGTATAGGTTAGCTGCTGAATTGCTATCGCTTTATAGGTGGCGGACGCACGCTTCGTCTCCCTCCTCCCCCGACTCTAAAGTGAGCTGAGGGAAGTAAGGGGCGGAAGCGAGCGTGCGCCCGCGGCCGTCTTGGCTCAAGCGGCCGGCCGCCTAGATTTGACTGTGCCTCATCGTTTACTTGACATGGCTTCCCCTCTTGCATTGGGACAATCGCTACTACGATACAACCGAGCTGGAGCTTGGCTTCGCCTGAAGCGAAGCTGTTGGCGGGGCCTCCCAGCCCCCTTCGAACTGAAAGGGGGAAGGGTTCGAACACCCCCTCTTCCCCTTGAGTCGTCGTTGTCGTCGACGTTCCCTGGCGCCGCCGACAGCCGCCGCCGGCGCCGGCGCCAGCCCAGGAGGGGGACGGAGGCCGCCGCCGCCGCGGGCGCAGGCCCAGGGCGGGCGGGGTTGGAACCCCCGCTGTCCGAGCGCCCACAGAACGCGCTCGTTCCCACGCCAGTTTATCTTGGCACGGGGATGCCGAGCTGCGCCCATTACGTGCGAGCAGTCGCGTTGTTGAGGCGTCTGCGCTCCAGTGCTGGCGTGGCTGATGTCGAGATCCAGATGCCGAATTACAGAGTTCAATGCCAACGTCGATGGCAATTACAATTCCGTTGTTTTGGTCGTTGCTGCGGCAGGACGCGCCCCGACTGAACATGAATCAGCTGCCGCTCTCGATTGGGAGCTGTCGCTCCCGTCTCGAGGTGGTGCCGCTTTGCGCCCCCTTCTGATCGCCTTCCTTGCCCGCTTTGGTTTGCACCGCTATGTCCGTGCTTCCCAGCACCACATAGTTTGTTCACATTTCTGTCTTGGCATTCAATACAGGGATCCGTGTGTTTGTTTTGCTGCGGCGTGTTTCCTTTCCTGATATTGGAGTGCCGCGGTCGTCCGAACAAGACTTGGATCAACTTCCCAGCATATGTGCATGTTGTTATCCTGGCGCCCCATGACGCCCCACGCATACACACGTTGTTGTTGATGGAGCTATCGTTTCCTTGTATACCGAGGTGATTCGTGGGCCACCAGTCGGTTAGCACGCCTTCGATCGCCATGCTCATTCGTGTTCGCCATCAGGATTAATAACATGACCTCCCGCAGTTTCGGCCGCTTCCCGCAGGCTCGAGGCAAGGTGCGGGCGCTGTGCGCGGTGGCTTTGGCCTTCTTGCAGACATTCTTGTGGCGCCCGCCCTCTCGCTCTTTCCTTTTCTATCTCTCTTTATTTTTCCCCTCTTGTCTCTCACTGTTTCTCTCTCTGTCTCTGTCTCTCCCTCTCTCTTTCTCGTTCTCTCCCCGCTCCTCTCTCTTTATCTTCCTTCGTCTCTTGCTCTCCCTCTTTCTCTCTCATGTTACGCCTCTCTCTCTCTCTCTCTTCCCCGTTCTCTCGCCCTCGTTCTCTCTCTCTCTCTCGCCCTCGTTCTCTCTCTCTCTCTCTCTCTATGTATGTCGGAGGTTGGGGGGTGACATCGCAGGGGAACGGAGAGTCCCCCACCGGGAAATCGGTTTCGGTTTCGTGTCGTGCGTGCGGGCGAGGCGAAGCTGCGCGGGCGCGCGAGAGGAATGATGCTACCGTGGCAGGGGCCGTGGAGCCGTTTGACCGCCCCCCCCCCCGCCCGCCGGGCGCGCCAGTGACCCGGGTGCCCCGTCGGTGGCGCGAGGGTGCCTCGTCGGTCGCGCGGGGTGCCCGTTCGGTGGCGCGGGGTGCCCCGACAGTGGCTCTGGGTGTCCCGCCGTGGTGTCTCAATGGTAAGTAGCTCGTGAGATCACTTGTGAGATCGATAGTGAGATCGATTGCGTGATCGATCGTGATCGTGAGATCGATCGTGACATCGAGAGATCGATCGTGAGACCGATAGTGTGAGATAGTTCGTGAGATCGATCACACAAGATCTTTGCTTGGGGGTGCCCCGCCGTGGCTGGGGGTGCCCCATCGTGGTGTCCCGACGGTGTCTCGTGAGAACTCTTGCGAGGTCGATACTGAGATCGCTTGTGAGATAGATATTGCGATCGATAGTGATATCGATCGACAGTGCGACCGATATCGAGAAAGATAGTGAGAAGGAGGGTGATATCGCTTGTGAAATTCCTTGTGGTATTGATCGTGAGACCTGGTGTGCGATTGACAATGAGATCGATAGTCCGATCGATAGTGAGATCGATTGTGAGATCGATACTGAGATCGATAATGATATCGATAGTGAAACCAGTTGTGATACCAGTAGATCGGAATCGAATGCGAGGTCGCATTTATGTGGTGTGAGCTCCATCGCGGCTGTGCCGCCTTCAACAATCATCATTATTTATTATCACCATGAGCGTCATCGTGCATTGTCGCCATTTCATCGTCATCACAGTAACAGCAGTTGTTGTAATTGGGTTTTCCCTCCCCCCATATCCCCCTTTTTATCTTTTTCTCTCTCTGTCTCTGTCTCTCTCTCTCTCTCACACTCTTTCTGTCTATTCTCCACTTGGTTATTCGTTGATGTGGTGGGAGGTATCTCGGGGCCCTCTTAGATGCAGTTGTTATGCCTCTTGTGGGTCGTTGTGGGGCCTCTTGGGGCGTCTCGAGGACATCTTGGGGCCTCGTTGGGCCTCCTGGGGGCCTCTTGGGGGCCTCTTGGTGCCGCGGTTCGGGCCCACCCTCTTGCGCCCCATTTGAGGCCGTCTGGGGCGCCTCGTGGGTCGTCTTGGGACCCTTTTTGGACCGTCTTGGGGCCCTCTGATGGGCCTGTTGGGCCATATTGGGGCGATCTTCGGGGCATATTGGGCGCATCTTTGGGCCTCTTGGATTGTCTTGAACGCCGTAAGGCAGAAACGCAGTATATGCTAAACGTCAATGTTTTCCCAAGGTGGTTAGACGATTTTTTGAAGGGAGGGAGGGAGGGAGGGAGGGGGAAATAGAGGGAGGGAGGGATGGAGGGCAGGAGGAGGAGGAGGAGGAGGAAGAGGAGGAGGAGAGATGAGGGGGATTTGGATGGGCCATTGGGGCACGTGACTTGAAACGAGTGTTAAAGAGAGGCTGTATAGCGAACGCTATATCCGACCCTGTCTTGGCTCAAGGCAGCGCTGCCCTACTTGCTAGGTGCACACGGCACTGTGCGCCTCGATTGGGATCATAGCATCTGACAAAGGCCACTTTTATGTATGATCCACATCTTCATCTCATGGCTTCCCTTTTTCATGTCGTATTGCTTGCCATCAAATGCTGAAGTGTGGGATGCCCTGATACGTCGCCGACACTTTCCTATGAGTAGGGTTCTCATCTTATTACCTCATGGTCCAGCCCGGTACCATTCCTTTTCACTTGGTAGCGCAGCTGGCTACATATTCATCTGGTTGGCTCTTACATCGGGTGTTATTCACATAACAAACTTCCACGGCACAGTGGAGTACCCGACCGCGCCGGCTCACAGCCACCACGCCCCCAATCTTCTCGAACCAGTGGCAACCGAAAGTCCTCTGCCTCCATCTCCCCACTGCGTGTTCACACGCCACGCACAATCCAGATACCGATACGCATCCGCACGCTGTCGGCCACGTCAGACCATGCACCCAGTCGCAACCCTACGGACGCGACAGTATCCAATGGTACGCAATCTGACATCATCAGCTACAACATGACCTTGCAGTGTGTGACGGTCGCGATCATTGGAATCATCAGGGCGTGCTTGGTCCTTGCCGTGGCATACATGCGAGGAGGAGGTTTGGATGAAACACCTACTCGGGGTCCCTTTTGGGTTCGCGCAGGCAACGCACCCTTCCGCGACTTTGTTCGCGAAGTACACGCATAACATCACGTCACGAGCGGAATGACTCCACCCCGACAGGCCGCAGCTTTACAGCGCGGCCTCGGGGGATTGGTTAGGACACTAGCCATGAGGGTGCCGGCCACCATCAGGGGAGACGCACCGACGGAGACACATACATCATGTACTTAATTTGCACCAAGCTTGAAAACTTTGGGGACGAGCGACACCTCACCTCAGGGACAACACTCATCGACCTCAGGATCGACAGAGGCGAGCGCATTGACTCAGTGCTGGCCCTGTTCGAGATGGCCAGGCTGCAAGCAGACCCAGCAGGTTTCACCATGCACAACTTCCAGATCCTTACACTGATCTTATTTCGGGCCTTGGGGGCTGGTACCTTCCGAGCAGCACGGCTACTTCAACCGCTGAACCACCAGATCAACAACAGTGCGACCAACTCTTGGAGCGGATGCGCAGCCACGGACACTTGGCTGAGCGTTCCCCGGGGAACATCGGGGGCATCTTCAGCGGACGCAGCGCTGGCACCTACCGCGCCGAAGTGCGCGACGCACCGGCAGCCGCGCCGAACAGCATTTGGAATGACGGAAGGCCCATTGAGTCCACGGCGCTCTTAGGCCAAGACGCCAACAACAACGGCGAACAGGCGTCTGGCTCAAGCATTGGCTGGCCGTCATCGGCCAGCTATACATCACCTGGCGCGACAGCCCACCGGGGCTCACCCAGCCAACGCGATGACGACGTCTTCGATTTCGGCACGGGCACCGATGCGCCCTCCTGTACCGGCGCCGAAAACCTCGGCTGGTCAGCATTCGCCGCCGGCGATGAATGCTTATACCTAAGCTATCATCGCGCCAAAAGAAGGTGATTCTATGTTTTAAGAAACAGATTGTTGTTCTGCACGGCGAGAGCGAACCTCTTCCGCTGAAAGCTAAGCGCGACGCGCACAGCTGTAAATAGCAGAGAAAACGCGGAAGAAGGCGGGGCCTCACGCGGCCGGGAGAGGGCGAAACCCAGGTATCAGGCGGTGCCGAAGTTGACGTGCAGGAAAAGGTACACCTTGGACAGGAGCCCGGTGGTGAAGTCTCGCGAGGAAGAAATCCGGTGGTGGTGCCGTCAGCGGCAGTTCGAGAACACCAGCCCCACGAACTGCGGGAGAGGACGCGCCGCGTCACCAGGTCGACGTCCGAGAGGAAAAGGAGCACCACGGAGCCGGAGTGCAACGTTGTGCCACCAAAGTGATGCCAGGAGGACCAGCCGTGGTAGTCCAATCCACGAATTTGGGGATCCGCAGCCTGAGGCGCGGCAGCCAGGCGAACCGTAAAATTGCCGCCGATAACCGACAGGATGCCGGTGTGCTGCAGGTGGGAAGCCGGCCCCGCATCGGCAAGCTCGTGAGGACGGGCGGAAGCCACACGCGTTGCGCTGCCGATCCGCAGTGTCAGGGCCAGGCCTGAGCCGCGCATCGCCAAGACCAGCGGAGCCGCCGCGGCGGCAAGGAACAAACGCCCGGCTCCGGGCCAGAGCCGCGCAGTGCTGGGCGCTGCCGCCATGGGAGGGGGGGTAGCGAGCGGGGGGGGAGAAGCGGGCAGGAAGGAGAAAGGCCGGCCCAGCGAGCCAGCCCCCGCGCCAGAAATAGCACGTGGCAGGGTGGAGCAGGGACAAACGGTCCCAATACAATTTGACAAGCGGTCCCATCACCAGGTGAGCGTGGGCCGTGTGGAGCAGGGAAACCCTGCGGGATCAGGGGGGGCAAACGGTCCCATAACCAAGTGATGCGGATCAGGGGGGACAAACGGTCTCATATTCAGGCAGAAAAAGAGGGAGAGGAGGAGGATCATGGCGACTAACGGTCGCAATTGCTTGTGAGATGGGGAGAGAGGAGGGATCAGGATGCCATGATGCCGAAGGTCTGCTTGTCCAGGGTGTTTTTCGCGGTCGCGAGCTGTTCGTGCTGCTCGCCGACGAGCTGGACGTAGTGGCGCTGCTTGTGCTGATCGTGCTCGTCACACTCGTGGTGCTGCACTCGGTCTTACTGCTCGCCCACGTGCTGGGCGCAGTGGCGCTGAAGGTACCGGTCGTGCTAGTCAAGCTGCTGGTGCTGCTTTCGGCCGTACCGCTCGCCGACGCGCTGGGCGTGGTGCTGGGAGTGGTAGTGCTGCTGGTCCCGGTCGTGCTCGTCACGTTCATGGTGCTGCACTCGGTCGCACTGCTCGCCGTCGTGCTGGACGTAGGGGGGCTGCTGGTACAGGTCGTGCTCGGCTGCTGGAACGGGTCGTGCTCGTCACACTCGTGATGCTGATCTAGGTCGTACTGCTCGCCGTCGTGCTGGACGCAGGGGTGCTGCTGGTACTGGTCGTGCACGTCATACTCGTGGTGCTGCTGGAACGGTTCGTGCTGACACTCGTGGTGCTG